GGAGGCAGCGAAGAAAGATGTGTGGGGCCAGGGAGAGGCTACTTGGCGTTCCTCTCAACGCCACCAGCATTGCAGAAATCATCAGTAAAGTCCGTGTGCTTACGATCTCACACAACAGCCACGCTTAGTGACAGATGCAAGGGAGAAGGAAAAAAAAAAGGTATAGGAAGACAGGTGGATAGAGATGCAATGAGACAAAAAACGTGTCACAGAGAGGGATAGAGAGATAAAGATAGAGTAAGAATTATACAGTAGTCATAGTATTAAATTAAAAGGTGCCTTCGACAAGATGTTTTGTACTGCGTAGTGTACCTGGTATGAATACCTTGGCGTTTTGCTGAAGAGACAAAAGTGGGATATGCCAAAAAACAAAGGAGTTAGTCGCCAAAAGGGAGTGAAGATAGGGAAAAATTATGAAAACAATTCACCTAAGTAAGCGGAATAAACGTACAGAGGTTTCTTCTCATTGTTGCAATACAGTCCGGACATCTTGGACGGATAAACAAGAACAAAAGCGAAAGGAAAAAAAAAATACTTCCATTACATTCGGGCTCAATCTTCGGCCGTTATTTTTTTCTAAATTATTATTTACAATTTTCTGTTTATTTTAGCTGTTATTGTGCATCTCAAATTTTTAAAATTTCCTTAATATATATATATATATATATATATATATATATATATATATATATATATATATATATATATTCTTCCTCCATGCAGTTCGTTTCTCTCTGACGATAAGTTAATTTGTCTTTTAAAACTTTCTCTCCCCCAAACACAAAGTTATTTACCCAATTTGCCGGGTCAAGTAAAATTGCATTTTATTTTGGGAGCGTTGTCATCTATTTTTTTTGTCGAAAATTTCTGTGATAATGATTTATCATTATTTATTACTTATCTTTATCATTGATCCAGATTATTACGACGTTTCGGGCATCTTCATATTGTTTGTTATTGTTGAATTCTTGTGTTAAATACATCTGCGTGCACGTTAGCTAAGAATTTTTTTTTTTTTTTAGCGCACGACTATTTACTGCAGATATCGTTTCGGGGGTAGTGCTCGTGTATAAGTCGAACCCTGCTATATAAACAAAAGAATCTGATTTGTGCTAGCACAAATATTTACAATTCTTGCAATGATACAGAAACCAAACCAGAATGCTAGTCAAGAAATCACCGCTCTTGGCTGGATCAATGGGAAGGAAAGTCTGATGTCATGGAGGCCGCAAATATATATATGTCCCTAGAATAGACATTACTGAGGAAGCATTCTGGTGCGCATAATATATATATATATATATATATATATATATATATATGCGTCGGCTGAATATAGTTTTTATTTATCTTGTCTCCTCTACAGATACACTCTATCTGAGAATATATATATATATATATATATATATATTTAATAGCTGGTCAGTCGTATTTATAGGATACCTGTCTACTAGGGCGGCTAGGGAATCCCTACTGCAAATTTTCGCTCAGGTACATTTGTGTTTGCTCAACACACACAGAGCCGACCTGTGGTTTATACTGCAACTATCTTGAGCAGACTTTAGTTTCAGGTTCTGTGAGAGAGTGTGTTATCTAGAATGATCAGCACACTCACACTCTCCGCCACGATGACTTGTGGCTTAGTGCTAGCACAGCTATCGACGGCCCCTAGTGTCCAGTCTACCCGATTTCCATCACAAGGCTAGGGTCAACGCGTGGTATTTCAGGCACTTTCCAAAGGTGCCGGACGCTGGGTCCTCCTTCCTGACAAATCGACAATGGTGAGATTCGAACCCGGGTATCATGGTCAGAAAGGGTACGTTCTAGCCCCTCATCCATATATATATATATATATATATATATATATATATATATATATATATATATATATATATTTTCCGTAAATGTTATTTATCTTGAGTACAGGTGTTTCAGTTCAGACGCCTCTGTTAACTTTAATCTGTGAAATTAATGTCAGTCGGCCTAGAAGTCAAGATATCCTTATTAACAGAAAATATACCCCCCGCCAGGAATCGATCCTGCGTACTTTTCCTTCCAGCAGGCTTACATTTTTTTAGCAAGAACTTCTCGATCCCAAGGACGATTGACATTAATTTCACTATTTAAGGATTAAAACGATGTCAACTAAAACTAACGTTTCTAAAAATGAGAATACATACATGCATTGATCGATAAATACATGCATATATATATATATATATATATATATATGCATGTATCTATATATGCGTGTATCTATGTATGCATGTATGTATTCTTATATGTATATATATATATATATATATATTATCAGAGTTTATTTGTAGAGGAGAGAAAATGAATAAAAAAGGAACAACTATATTTCAGCCAACGCGTTTCTGTCACACATGAAGTATAATGTTTATATATATATATATATATATATATATATAAAACTCAAACACTAATATTCCATGGAATATTAGTGTTTGAGCCACTTATATTATATTCTTATCTATCCTGGACATTGAGTCCTACATAGATTCTATCCTCTTAATAATTTATATATATATATATATATATATTTTTTTAAACGATTTTTTTAATAGATACTCATTTATATATATATATTGATACATGTTTCATTAAATAATATATACAAGTGTTGTCTATTTATTTTATGTAAATTCTTTTCATAACGTCTGATAAGCTTAATAACAAATCATTAAACGAAGAAAGAAAATCACAATATTGATACATATTTTTTAATCCAATCTAAGCTTTCGCTTACATAAGCCATTATCAAAGATGACAATTACATTACAATTGTTAATTTGAGAGCCGAGTTCCAATTGCATTCGCGTTCGTCATATTCACTTACGCGTAAATATCCGTGGGAAAGTTATGAATTCGCCTCTTCTCTCCCCAGATATGGGTTAATTAGTAGGGTTTTTCATGAGTAAATCTTATCTCTCCAAAATTCTTACAGTGTAAAATCCAGGTGCACGAATATTGAGAATGAGACATGGCCCTAGGAAATGGCCCCAGACTTTGGTAAACAGAATTTGAAATTTATTTGTGAGGCCGACAGACTGACCGCCACCCCTTTCATAGCGGTCACTCTATGAGACAACGTTGATATGTGTATAAATATATACCCACGTTGATGCAACGCATCCTCACGAGACGTGTTTGTGTAGACATCAGGACACACCTTTCTTTTGACACACACACACATACAGAAAGAGAGAGTGAGAGAGAGAGAGAGAGGAGGTGGGGAGAGATGCACACAATCTAAACATTAAATGCGTCCCCATGGAACAGTAGTTAGCGACCAATGTATCGTTGACAATTATATAAAAAATAAACACTGTGCTAATTAGGTACTCTTGAACAAGATAATCCAAGTAAAATCCTTATCTTGCAGACCTTTGACACTGAAAAAAGTTATACCCTCATTAAATGTTATATAATTGTGGCTTTGTGCCAGACTAGACTGAAAAAAATCATCATGATCATTACACCATAAACAGTAGCAAAATAATATGCGTGTGTTGCTGTGTATGTGCGTCTGTGTAATACATGTGTCCCATAAGAATTGGTACATTTTCATACATATTTCTTACACCAAGTGTATAAAATACTATGGGACAGAAGTAGTATTATGAATTAGTATCTTTTTACTGTAAGTATTCGTATATTTTCATATACATATGATTCAGTATTAGTTGAATGTTAAACTTATAAAATCTATCTATCTATCTATCTATCTATCTATCTATCTATCTATCTATCTATGTGAGTCTATTCCATATCTATCTATCTATCTATCTATCTATCTATCTATCTATCTATCTATCTATCCCAATCTCATTATCTATCTATCTATCTATCTATCTATCTATCTATCTATCTATCTGAACATAGTTACGCCCTCTATGAAATTATTAATTCTATTTTTGTTTTCTTTTTGTAGAGGGTCGTAATTATGCAATTACGCCTCTTTCCAAACATCTGACTCGATGACGCCCATCTATAAGATTAAATTTCAAACATTATGCACAAAATTCTATTCTGCCTCTCTAAGAGAAATGCCTTACAGTGTGTGGGTAATGTACAATTGTACCGTGCAGGGTACTGTGAGTTACGCCTGCATGTGACACCCTTTGTCACTTGTTATTAATATATAGTACTTGACAGTATAAAAGACGCACCCTGATTTCAGAAGAGCGTATTTTTGGTAAAAAAAAAAATGCATATTTCATCAAGTACGAAAACTCAAATATCTGTTATTTGAAACGACGGGAACATGTAACAACGTAATCAAAACGTGAAAGATGCTTTTTAAAAGCTAAGCAAAGTATTAAGACACAAGAAAGAAGTTTCATTAGAAACGTCGAAAAGAATGCGCGACTGTTACGTAATGTGAATCCTCCAATATGGCGGCGAATGCTGGACAATTTCGTCCCCTATGAAGAGGTGGCTTGAGGCACCAGGAATGCGACCCTAAACAAGGATATTTAGAATACCATTGATTGAAGATATGTGCAACGAAAAACTTTTTTTTTTAACAAAAGCGGAATAAAATATATACTTAAACTCAAAAAAGAGACTCAACGATACATAATGAGGAAAGAAAGCTTGGAAAATTTGACACTCAGAGATATATAGAGAAGCGAAGAAAGACAGAGAGTAACCTACCTTATGAGCTTGTGTAAATTGATTGCTAGGCCGGGAATGAAAGGGAGAGCAAAAAATAAATAAGTTGTAATGGAGAGGAAGTTGCGGAAAGTCATGATCGCCAACGTCCCGGAGGAACACGGCGCGTAGATGAAGAATGTATAAAGTATTTTAAAACTTGATAGAGTCCAAAAACGTCTACGCGGCCTTGTGGGTGATGAACTATTTTCCACCTTAAAACCTCTTTCTCACTGGTGAATCGTCACAAGCCTCTCGCAGCTCTATCGCCATTTCCATGGAAAGTCTTAAGAATCTATCTATCTATCTATCTATCTATCTATCTATCTATCTATCTATCTCCATTCCCTAGTTCTACCATTTTTAAACTTCACAGCCAAGACCCGCCATGTCACGCATATTGGTTAGTTCCCTGTACTGACTCCGCCTGTTATCCTCTATCTTAAGAACCAGATCAGGACAGAAATGGACTACTGCTGCCATATATAGACAGGAGCTGCCCACTTTGCAGTCTTGATAGAGTTCAAAAGTATTTACGTAGCCTTGTAGGTGATTGATTATTTTCCACCCTACCACCTCTTTCCACACAGATGAAACGTCACTTTAGTGACTCTATCTCTGTTTTCATGGAAAGTGTTCAGACGAACTACTTTGTTTAGTTCCACCAATTTTAACCTTAACGGCTAAGATCTGCCATACCACGCGCATTGTAGCGAACCATCTTCATTCCCTTCATATTTGGTAAAGAGTAAATTCTACTCGAGCAGCTTCTTCTAACGAACCGATGATACTTCCCGGATTACTACAATCTTAACTTGGTTAAGTTTAGGATCAACCGTTACCTTCCCTACATATCTCCATAAACTGTGCTTCTTACTCTGTAACTCTCTAACTAGAGTGGCTCTTAGGCCTTGTACAGGTGAACATCATTGTAAAAAAAAAAAAAAATTCCGCGACTGGGACTTCTCATTAAACCTTCTACAGTAGTTGATTTTGTTCTGTCCTGAGTAAAAGCCAGCCTCTCGAATGGTGATTTTTGCAGGCAGGCACAACACAATTTTGCGACACGCAATTTCTTCGTTTAACCTTGTTTTATACTAAGTTTACATCAGTAAATGTTAAATTTGTTCACGATTTTTTGAATTCGAAACTTAGAACTGTAACCAGCTCGGTGAACCGCATCTTGTATATCATCGCCACCGACAGTGGTTACTGTTCAGGCTCAAGCATAAGATGAAACGCAACACAGTCCTCCCTTTTAAAAGTAGCCTTGTGCCAGACTGTTATTGATTGGAACTAGCCTAATAAGAAAACTTGATATTACCCAAAACCTTTGATGTCAACAACGTAATGAATCTATCATCGTTGCCAATCGATTTTATTTATATAAATTTATATTATTTATTATAAATAAATTTATGGGGGTGTCACCAATTTACCATATATATTAGGCAAGATAAGAGGTTGCTTTTTTTTCAATTCGAGCAGTACAATTCTTGCCTTGATGAAATATTAATTTTAAACACAGTTTGAGAAAAAGACGAAATAATGAAGTTTACTCATAGTGCGATATGCAATGAGTTAAATACGCCGTAAATATTACATTCCATCACGAGTCCCGCAAACCATATAGGGTCATAGGCATATTATATGTACAGCAGCCATGGTAGTAGTAGTGTGCTTAGGACACGACAATCTGACGGAGCCCATCCCTCTTCAGACTGGTTTTGAATTTAACCTTCTTTCTTTTTTTTTTTTTGCCATCACAAGGTAAAGAAACCCTGCTGAAAAGATGGATTCATACCCACCTTCTCAAGAGTATCTGTGCGAAAGTAAGCGTGACGAACTCGGCTGGACAGTTCCTCATTCCGATTCACTAATTCGTTAACCATTACACTATCGCCGCTTTCATAAAATTACAAGTTTACTTTATTTACATGTATTTATTTTACTTATATCATGCCAATCGATATTATTTATAACTATAGAGAACCATCCTCATTCATTTCTAGTGGAAAGATTTAAATTTCCCTCCAACACCTTTTTCCCACGAACTTCCTGCTTTTGTGGATCCAACTCTAAAGAGTATGCCCAATTTCAACTTGTTCACGTATACGGTTAGCCGATATCTTTCCTATATATCCTCATAAACTGTGCTACTCTGTAACTCTCTACCTCGAGTGGCTTTTGGGCATCGTACAGGGTGAACATTATTCTAAAAAGAAAGAAACATTGTGTTAACCTTTCTGTCCTAATCCGAGACAAACATTCTCGACTTATAAGAACAGGGTGCAAATGTATTCATTTGTGCTGTTTCGCCTTTTGACCGGGATCCTGGTCTCGGGGCATCCCGACTCTGCGTTAGCACCTCCCCCATTGTACTAAAATATGGAATATCGAGGAAAGGGTCAGAGTGTTCGTGGAGACTGAGCAATTTTCAGACTGGCCAAAAACAGCCTCACATAAAAGAGACCTTATGTCACATCTTGCCACAATGGGAAGTTGAATAAACAGCGCCGTTCAAATGTCTCGTCTTTTGAGTCAAAAACACGTGCCGAAGTGTACAAAACATATCTTAGCGCCATTCTACGCTTGTCATTTAAATTTAACCTAGCTTGGCGCAAGGCACCCGGTGAGGATGCAACTCCACACACAAAGGTAATGGTCAACTATATAAGCGTGTGGTCAACTGATAAGCATGTGCTTATGTGCGTGTGTATGAGAGTTCAACAGACAGTGAAACAAGGAAGCGAACTCGCCCCAGCGGCAGCGATCTTCATCACCGTCCAACTACAACTGGAAGCAAGAGGAAAACGTGAAAGAGAAAAGAATGTTTGCCTTTTTCATAGACTAAAATATCACCTCCTAATGGGCCAAACTTTTGGCAAAAATAGGGATTATGTAGCTCCAGCCAACACGGCCATGCTCAAATTTTATTCTGATCTGACTTCCGTGGAATGGAAGGAAGCGGGTAGTTTTCCGGAGCAGTCCTGCAAAACAATCATTTCCCCAGTCTTTAGCGATAAATCGTATATACGATTTCCACTTGGGGGTCTGGTGTGAGCTCGGAGGAGTGTTAACCCCTTATTCAAAATACAAGCGTTCATTACGACTGGAGAAAACCCAAGGTTTACTCATTTACTAGCTTTGTTTTGGAGGTATTGAATATTACAAGCCAGTTCATTCACTGAATACCATTGACGCTGTGTAAGCAAGATCAAAGGAGAGATCATCTAATCTATCACGAGGTCCCAAGTATACAATCCTCAGTCATATTGTATTAATATTCAACCAAACTTGATCGCAAACCATTATATAATGCAACGGTACCCAGCTTGTAATTTACTAAATTTAACTTTGTTTGGCACAAGGCCACCAATATAGAGCACTTAGTGAGGATCGAACCCACTACACAGTATTGGCCAATGATGCTAGCTCGCTAACATCATTCCAATACAGAGGGCACTTTTCCGTTAATTTTGACTTATTTGGGCATAATGCTACAAGTATAGACCCCTCAGTAAGGATCGAACCCACTACTACAACCAAGCTAGTCGCGCTAACCATTAACCCTGGCCAAAATGCTCAAGATTTTATTTATTAGGTTTATTTACAAGGCCACGTGTATGGGGTACCCAATGAGGATCGACCTCACTTACACAGTAGTTATGGTCAACCAGAATATCTCTCTAAACATTACCCTGCGTCGAGACTCTCTATTTTTCTAATCTTAACCTTGTTTGGCAGAAGGCCACAAATATGGGGCACCTAGTGAGAATCGAACTCACTCAACACTCGCTGCTCTATTGCTACTTCTATGACATCTGTTCTGACGCTCTACATTCCTTCGTCCTTCTAACCCTCAGCTTTACCCCCTATGCTACGTACACACGGATAAATCATCCCCATTCCCGTCATATTCCATCAGTAAGGAAGAAGTTCCACTCGGACAGCTTCTTCCCAAGAACTGCTGCTTTGTGGAACAGAATCCAGGCAAGGTGTTTTCCTAATCGCTACAATCGTGACCTCTTTAGAGTTAGCCGTTATCTTGCCTGAATATCCCACGGTCTCCTCTTCTTTCCATTTCTTATGCTCATACAACAGAAACCGTCTACCTTAAGTGGCTCTTGGGCCTTGTATTAAGTGATTAGCATAAACAAAAACTACAAAGAATGAGGTGCAAAATTAATTTCAACACGGAATTAATTTAAACTCGGAACCAATTTCACTTCGGAACTAATTTCAATTCGGGACTAATTTCAAATCGGGAGTAATATTAAATCGGGAGTAATTTTAAATCGGGAGCCATTTCAATTCGGAAGTAATTTCAATTCGGAAGTAATTTCAACTCGGAACTAATTTCACTTCGGAACTAATTTCAAATCGGGAGTAATTTCAAATCGGGTGTAATTTCAATTCAGAACTAATTTCAAATAGGGAGCAATTTCAATTCGGAAGTAATTTCAACTCGGAACTAATTTCAAATCGGGAGTAGTTTCAACTCGGAACTAATTTTAACTTGGAACTAATTTCACTTCGGAACTAATTTCAAATCGGGAGTAATTTCAGTTCGGAGTTAATTACTATGGATTTTTATTGCTAAATAAAAAAAAAAAAAACACCAACTCATTGCATTTTGTTCAGGAATTAACAGAAATTGATAACTTTAATTTTAAATCGAGTTGAAATTAGTTCCAAGTTGAAATTAGTTCCGAGTTGAAATTAGTTCTGTCACTCCACAAAATAGGCCGTTAGCCATTTTTCCACCCGAGGCGTCCGTTTCGCTTTTCTACCGTTGGTAAAATTAAGAGAATAATTTACATTTAAGAATACGCGCCACATTTTACGTTCGCTTGTGTAGTTTTCTTCTTTCATTCGTCCTTCCGTTTGTTTTTTTCTTCTTTTATTCTTTATTCCAACGACTTTAACATATCTACAACTATATTTATTTTCTTTTTGGTTTTATTTTTTCAATATAGTCTCTTAATATACAGTCTGTTTTTCTCTTTCGTTCTCTTCCTCACATTTTTTTTTATTTACGACAAAAGAAACTTTTGTCAAGGAAAGCCAAAAAAGAGAACAAAGACAAAAAAAAAAAAAAACCAGCTATTTTTTAAAAAATTGTTTCCTTCCAGACATGTCTCTGTCATCCTTGTTTGAGGCAGGTAACCATAATAAATCGACCGGCCTATTTTCCATTCCCTACAGCTAATAACTCACAATTACAACGAAATTGTCAGTTGTTCATTGTAGTCATCGTGCATACTTTAAGTTAGTCGAGGTTTACAACAGGCAGTGCGATCAGAAATAAAGAATTTTTTCAATTTTTTTTTTCCCATATTAACATAGATTAACCAATCCTGATCAAGAATATGTTAAATAATAATAATAAAATAAGGGTGGGGGTGCAGTTAGTTATACAAATTAATTGTAAATTGATCACCCTACGGAAGCCTAAAAAAAAAAAGAAGAAAAAAATAACGAAGGAAGAAGAAAGTTTGTAAAGATGCACAAAGATATTTTCTGAGTAGAATCTAAGGACACACACTTTTATGTTTATATAAATGGAGGTAAAAGTTCTCGGTCGGATCGAGGATTTTCGGTACATTTTCGTAAATACACAAAGACACACACACACACACATACACACACATATATATATATATCTTTGTGTTGGTGGGTGTGGGTGTGTGTGGGTGTGAATAAATACTCAGGTATGTAAAAAATTTTAAATATATTAATATCTGTTTCTATCTATTTCAGTATATTGTTGTCTATCGTCAATCTACAAATATTTTCGTGCCTGTCTATCTATCTATCTATCTATCTATCTATCTAATTCTATTCATTATCTATCTATCTATCTATGTCAGCCTTTTGGTATGTATGTATGTATGTATGTATTTGTCTATGTATCTATCTATCTATCTATCTATCTATCTCAGTCTAAGTATTTTCTTATCTATCTATCTATCTATCTATCTATCTATCTATCTATCTATCTCATTCTGTTCATATCTATCTATCTATCTATCTATCTATCTATCTATCTATCTATCTATCTATCTCATTCTGTTCATATCTATCTATCTCAGCCTGGTCATATCTATCTATCTATCTATCTATCTATCTATCTATCTATCTATCTATCTATCTATCTCAGCCTGGTCATATCTATCTATCTATCTATCTATCTATCTATCTATCTATCTATCTATCTATCTATCTCAGCCTTTTTATAGAGACGCGCACATGGGCTATTATTGTCAAAGTGCGTGGAAGCACGTGTTTCATCGCTGACTTTGATGTCGATGGCTCTATCACTCGGCCTTGGTTCATAAATATCCCGCACGTATGAAGAACGGTAGTAGACTGATGCTGGCGTGGCACAGAGGCTGGGGGTATATCCCGCGTCAATGCTCTTCGGATTTCCGAGTTTTCGACGTCTATCGATTTCTTCCTGTTCATGATGAGTGACTTGGATATGACGCCATCTTTGTACTTTACACCCCCAGGCGCGTAGTCCCGGACAACCTAACGCAAAGCAGACCTCAACCGAACTCACTGACGTCTCTGCTTTCGTTGACTTCTTAAGAGATTCCATTTATTGTCGTTGTTGTCCCACACACACAAGTGTGCGACTGGATCGTCGCTAGTTTTTTATTCGGATGATTTTGCCAGCAATGACGATCCCTGTTTTGCGAAGTATTTATGGCGCATTCAATCAGGGCTCATTTCCTTGATGTTCATATTTCATTTTCTCAGTCTATCTATCTATCTATCTATCTATCTATCTATCTATCTATCTATCTATCTCAGTCTGTTCATATCTATCTATCTATCTATCTATCTATCTATCTATCTATCTATCTATCTATCTAATTCTGTTCATATCTATCTATCTATCTATCTATCTATCTATCTATCTCAGGTTATTCGTATCTATGTATCTATCTCAGTCTGATCATTATCTCTATCTCTCTATTTGTTCATCTCACTCACACTCTTTCTCTCTTTCATCCTCTCTCTCTCTCTATGTATATATATTTTTTCAGTGCATTCATATCTATCTATCTATCTATCTATCTATCTATCTATCTATCTATCTATCTATCTATCTCAGTCAGATCATTATCTATATCTCTCTATTTGTTCATCTCACTCACACTTTTTCTCTATTTCAACCTCTATCTCCCTCTCTCTATGTATGTATGTATGTATCTATCTAAGTTTATTCGTATCTATCTATCTATCTATCTATCTATCTATCTATCTATCTATCTATCTATCTATCTATCTATTTCAGTCGGATCATTATCTCTCTCTCTATTTGTTCATCTCACTCACACTATTTTTCTGTGTCCCCATCTCTCTGTATATATATGTATGTATGTATCTATGTTCTAGAAAAGAACACAGATATATAGATACATAGTATGTTTTCTAGTATGTTCATTTCTATCTCTGTCAGTGTGTTCATTACCTATATATTTAATTGATATTTTTCTCTGCTTTCTTTTGCACCTATTGATCTCCATAATCAATCAACCAATCTCTTCTATTTCCATTCAATTTCTCCCTTTCAGCCTGTTGTGTTTTTAATTTCACTTTCACTTTCACTTTCGATTTCGCCTTACCATCCTTTACCGCCATCATCCCCGATTCTTGATTTTCTCTTCATTACTTTTCCTATCACGTTCTCTTTTCCAATTTTTCAACTCGCCACCTCCTTCCTAACACTCCAACACCTTTCCCCCACTCGCGACAACTCCTCGCCCTTTTACCATTCGGAAATATTGGGGAATACTCTGACGTGTGTCTAAAAATAGTTGTTGGATAGTGTCGACGTCAATGTCTCTGACGTCAGCAGTGTCGTCACCAGTACAGTGCCAGGGAAACAAAATTGCGTAGTTTCAAGTCGACTGTCTTCATCGTTAACTGGCAACAGGAACAATAATTCAATATAGCGGTATTCATAGCAAAAATCCCTACCCACAGTCCCCACTGGCCAAACCCTGACCACTTTCAACCTGGACCTTACCCAACGTATTATTTTGAGGAAAAAAAAGAAGACCTTTACAAAGATCTAAATATTGGTGTTTCTATTTCGTTTAGTAATAACGTTCTCCGTGATTGTGCATGATAGGTCGTCTCCCTTTGAGCGAGTCTCATAGATTATTCAATATTATTCTCAATATAATACCTCGCTGCTTCTGTCATAACGTAGAGTCGTGCTTGAATCACACGGTATTTGTCCGCTAATTGATTCACTCGGAGTGTTACAACCACCTGTGGTAAAATTAAACTAAGACACCATACGAAACATCATTAAAATATTCATTAAAGCAGAACTACTTCGTAAGTATTGCTTGGCGTTGCGGGCATTTAGTAAGGATCGTAGGTAACTGATTACATTTTTCGCATACTACTTTGATCTATTACTGATAGCGTCTGGATATTTACTGACGATAACTTCTGGATATTTACTGACGATAACTTCGTCTGGCACATGTCAGAGCGCTACGGGAGGATCAGTTCACTATATTAGATTTAGAAAGTGCTTTCTAATTTTTGCTCTATGGTAGGTGTGTTCCTGTTAGAGATAACTGATTTCATAAACTTTTGTTTATTCTTGGACCTTACAGAATTAATCAAAATGCTCAAATACCAATGTGCAAGTGGAATTATAAACAACACACACATATATTATATATATATACTGTATTTGACCCTACCAACGAAAATACCTAATAATTGACTTCATCTACAAACCCATTATTAGTCTGAAGAAGTTCATACTCAGAATGAAACGTGTCACTAATGCATTTTAAAACTCTGTTATCTATTATTAGACTGTTTTATCTGTTATGTAACAGCAGTCTTCTTATACATCAGTGGATGATGGACAGTCTCCTTATAGATGAAGAAGAGAGGTGAAGCAGTGTGGTTCTACAGAAGGATGATGAGGATATAATGGACTGAACATGTGAGCAACGGCTAAGTTTTAGAGAAAATGTAAAAAAAAAAAAGAGAAACTTATATTCAGGAAGAGACAGTTGGAATTCCTCGGACATATAATGAGGAAGGAAGGCTTGGGAAATTTGACACTCACGGGGCAGATTGAGAGCAAGGGGGCAGAGAAAAACAGTGCATAACATATTTCACGACTTAACGTAAATAGATGACAGAACAGGGTTTAGGAGAAATAAAAAAGAGATAAAATGTATTAAGAACTACAAAATGCAGGAAGTTGTGGAGAGCGATGACAATTCTACTTAAACATTAAAAAGTGTTGAGCAAGTGATATATGACGATAAACAATTGTGTTGGTAACATCAAGCCTCGGAGGGGATTTGGCGGAAAGTGGAAAGCAGTACATCCACTGCGGTCTATTTGGTGGCCGTCCCCATGGACCGATTGGGCAGCTATCATATATATATATATATATATATATATATATATATATATATATATATATATATATATACCGAATGGGTAAATATAAGAATATAAGTAGGTATAAGCAGGCGATCGTATACAAATATATAAAATACTCTATTGTGCAAGAAAAACAGTGCTCAATGTTAAATAACAGAGCTATTTAACCCCCATATATATATATATATATATATATATATATATATATATATATATATATATATATATTAAGCAATATACATAATATCTTACATTAATTACACAACTCTGAGTTTCATGCCGAAGCAATTTTCAAGTGCTGGAATTATTACAATTAATATTTAATATATATATATATATATATATATATATATATATATATATATATATATATTTATAAATTAATTGATTTAAAATATGGTTTTTTTTCGCTACACAGTTCCAACCATGTTTCAAAAATAGAAGCTAAAAACCCCGAATTTAATTTTGCAATTAAATTAAAAGCATTAGTTCCATTTCATCTTCAAGCGAATTTTGGAGTAACTTTTAAAAATTACCGGGTTTTAAAGACACAGCTAAAATCACGTTTTCATGGTTACAGAATATTCTACTTAAATTGAATAAGGGATGTCTAGATTTTCCTTATGTCAGTATCATTGTATCAGTTATTAGCTACAATTTGGTAAGGGGTAGGGATGTATTTTACAATGAAACCTGATATCATTTGAATGGATGTCGTCTGGATTTAAAAAAAAAAAAAAAATATATATATATATAATAGCTGGCCATTCGTAACCGAGGATGGCAGTTCGCGAGGGCGGTTAGCCAGTCCCTCTTGCGGACCACCGCTCAGGCACATTTGTGTTTGCTTAACACACACAGAGCCCACCTGTGTCTTATACTGCAACTATGCTGAGAAGACCTAAATTACAGTTTCTGGGAGAGAGCACGTATTACTTATTACTTAAAGCATTAATTTTCGTGGGTGCACGTATTTGAGTTGATATCCCTGTATTTTTTTAAAAATTTGTTGTTGTTTTTTTTCTTAAACAATTAAACTAATAACTACCGGTCAAGACCGAGAAAACCAACTAAAACATATATATATATTTTGGATGGCAACTGACTTAGGAGAAGGACAACTCTGAATACAAAACCTGCGGAGGGTCGTTTTGTCATACGATGCAAAAAGTATGGTTGGTTCTACACAAAGCCTTCAGCATTATAATGAAATGATTTGTTCGTGGTCTAGTTGTCAGTTTCTAGGAACTGAGTTGCTTGACACTCATACGACAAAAATGACGGGAGAATGCATTATATATATATATATATATATATATATATATATATATATATATATATATATATATATATATAATTTAGTTTTGTATATACAAATATCTAAGCAAATGCTATATATATATATATATATATATATATATATATATTATTATTATAATTATTTTTTCTTTTTTTAAATATTATTCCATCGCGACACAGTTTAATTCCAATATTAAACCTTAACCACTGAATGGCAGTTTCATCCTCAAGCCCTTTTTTTTTTGAATAACTATAATAGGGAATGCTTTCTCATTTATAGTTTTGAAGGGAGGTGTGGTCTGGGGTTTGTTTTTTCTTTATGAAGGTGTCACTGTTTTGATGGAAGTAGGGGTGGTTTTGGTATGTCAAGTTTTTGGAGTCGTGTAAGGTAAGGGTGATATTTAAAAAATGTGACGAGATCAAACAGAAAATATTAATAAAGAATCTTTAAAATTTAATATCTGATATAGCACTCACTTATTTTCGAATCTAATTTAGCGCCCCTTATTTTTTAGTTTGTGCTCTCTGTTTGAATGTTTGATATTGGCTGGGGAATGATATTGGAGTGGAAGACTAACTAAGCTACTAATTCTACTACTACTACTACAACAGGTGTAAGCGTAATCCCTTGAGCTTGCAATAACAGACAAAACAACTAAAAACAGCAACTACTACTATTGCTACTACTACAACGACTACTACTGTTATTATGACTCTTACTACTACGACTTCTACTACTAGTAATAGTCGTATAAATCTTTATTGCAGATCCGCTGTTATGTTGACGGCGAAATTCATGAAGAGGCATAAGATGATGTTACTGCATTTGCATGAACGCGTTCATATCTCAAGGAAGTGGTGATCTGGAACACTAAGAGCATTATGTGTTAAGGCCTCATACACTCTCACTTCTGCTCTCTCTCTCTTTCTTTTACTCTTTCTTTCTGTCGTATCTCCTCAGTTTATGCACGATCATTACTCTCCACAGCGTCCATAGCTCATAGCTTCATATTTTGAAACTTCTCTTTCTTTTTTCTTTTTTTTTCTGTTTTGTCTATTCTTTATTATTGGCTCTGATTTATCAAGATGGTTACAGCCTATACAGCAAGGCATTTTTTTTTAAAGCATATCACCCCAGGCAAGGCAGGAGTGCCACTAGCACGCAAGGGGCTACAGAGAGTGAGAGCAAGAGAAAAGAGGGGTGCTTGGGAAAACGATATAGAGAAGGACGGGGATCAAGATCAAGGCATCAGAAGATGTCGATTGACATTACATTTGAATATTTGAAGATTATAGCTATCAGGGAAGCAATTAAGAGGAAGAGACTTCCACTGATGGGAAGTGTCAGAGAAGATGCTTTTGGAGTAATAGAGACGACTCCGTTTCGACAGTGGAAGGGTGGAACCGAAATGCTAACCTACTAACACGCTTAAATTCATGCAGTTTCTGTCGATATTTCTGAGATGAGGTATTATGTACATTATTTACATGGTTCGGGGTATGGTCCTCATCTTTGTTGCCATATTTATCACAACGTTTCGGCCGTTGTACGCTCAAGGACACATGGCACAGTGGATAAAGGCATTAGTTAGATCTCATATATATATATATATATATATATATGCAGCATATATTCATTCAAACATGTTTCATTGAATGATATTTACATATTGTCTATTTATTTTTATACTAATCCTTTCCAGTTGTCTAATCAGTTTCTTGATGTTGAGATGAAATTCATCAAGGAAGGCACTGTTGCTTTTTTTTTAAGCCTAAGTACTTCAATCATTTCCAAGGCCATCTTCAGGAGTAAATTGCAAAGACAAATTTATTGTAGCTACAATAAAATCTACATTCCGTAGTTACAATCATTTTTAAAAAACACGCGCTCTGTTTAGTTAGATCCAGTGACAGGACTCCAAGAGTGTGAGTTCAATATCTGGTTAAGGCCGTGGAGAACTTGGAGAGGGGAATTAGCAGGAGATAACTGATAACTGACATCCATCAGACATGGCACGTGGAACTAGAACAGTCTACCTCAGTGAGCGAAATAAAGGGTTCCGTCTGACATTCTGAAGAAGGCCGG